AGGGGTTTTGTGGAGATTTAGTATTTTTCATGGTTGAAAGTGTGAGTCAATTGAAGCTAGACCACCATGGAAAACCTGGAAACACTGGACGGCCGTTTTGTCCTATTATGGGACTCCTCAGCAGTGCGCATCCACTCACGCTTTCAACCATAAAATTAATATGTTTGCTTATGTATAAAGTATGAAGTGTGTACGAAGTTTCTCGAACTTGAGGTTCACTTAATATAAGTACACAAAAAAACGCTGGTCGATCAATAGTTCAAAAACTTTCAGAATCTATTACTGCATGCTTATACAAAAAGCGGAGAATACAAGTATATCAAAGAAAAGAATGTTGAACAGTAAGATTGAACTGTTGGGGATGCTTGATCCCCAGAAATCACTTGGCAAACGTCTCATTCTCGTAATTTTACATTGAAAATTTGAATCTCTCGTCTTTGATCTAAAAGTGCCCACTTTTACCTTCAGATTGTATTTCCCACTTGGAAGGACCTTAAATATGATTGGTTCGTCCCCTCTTTCAATACACTATTTTTTGACGTTTCTCAAGGAACTTTTTATGATGTATATATATACGTCTAAGTTGTATGCTTGTTCGTATGTGCTTCTCGTTGCTTGCGGAATATGCTTACCCTCATCTGGACATGGACTTCAGCATCTAGTTAGCGGGGCGGGGACACATCGGGGTAGTTTAGCTTATATTGTCGCTGTGTCGTTGACCCTTCGTTGCGTTCGCTGATTTAGGGTGATATCTTCAAACATAACATCAACTAAGAAAATAGACACACGATAACCCAATTAACATCGGTAACTAGGATAGTGTAAATAGCAATTTATTTAGCTTAGTACAATAAAAAGAATCTACCTCCTACATAGGTGTTCATGTGTAGTTAATATAACAGAAATCAATATATTATTATTACTCTATCAGAATCAATGACTGATTTATTCTGCAATGTTCAGTTTGATGTAATTTTAAACAACTGATCATGCAAAGTGCATATATAAATTTATAACATAAAAAATTAGTGAACTATGAGTACATTTTAATGCACTACTGAAAAATACCGGTAGTAATAAGTACCTTCCTAGCCCATAAACATGTTCAGATTCTAAAATATTCTGTTTACTTAAATTTTAGAGAAATATAATACATGTATGGATTTTTATAAAAGCTATTAACAACGTAGTAGATATTATAATTGTAGCATTCAAATCAATATTTCTAAATTGACGGAAAACAAATTATTTAAGCAGATATACTGGTCTCTATACAGAGTGGGCAGTGGATTCACATAAATAATCTATGTATGCATATATATTGTAACTACTTTTAATAATAAAAACACTGACAGAATTGATGAGTTGAAAGAAAATAAACAAATAGAATACTCTGCAGATGTATAAAACTTGGTTTTCATAGTATGCTCAATATGATGAGTAGCAAATTCTCTTTTACCACGTTCACTGCATAACTAATCACCTTTGTCTTCATTCCTCTAACGTCAGTGACACTATTTACGTACCCTATTAAACAGACAATTTATGTTGAGCAACACAAGTTTTCTTCGAGAAAGAAATCTGTATATAAATATGCATTATTGTAAGTACGTAGTATAACTATACATAAGCAAGCACAATTATCAATTCTGGGTGTATTACAGAAAGAACAGATTGTCTACTGTATGTTGGACAAAGAAAACAAATGAATGCAGATAAATTAACACAAAGAGTAAATCATCACAAGTTTCAAATACAAACACCATTAGTATACCAATAAATAAAATCATGTTTGTTTGCAATGACATTAAGATGTCAGCAACGAAAACTTGAGAAAAAATCAATGTTAACATTAGAATCTTCTAAAATGACACGTAAAACTAGGTGATATCGAATAACAAGAATCACACAATTTTTATCAAGAAAAAAATTGAGCCAGTTGAATGAAGAAAATTCTCTTTACAATGATATCACTTACTAAAACTACTCCTACCTATTATTGATACACAAATTAGTTCATTGAGAAAATATGTCAGCACTAGGTCAATAAGGGATGATAAAGAGTAAATCTTAACAAAGTGAAATCTAATTATAGGTGAAAAACATAAGTTTGACGGTCTACCTAATAAACATAAAGACAAGTAACGAAAGCATAGAAAAAACAAATGGGGTACACAGGTTAAGAAATACCAACACCAATCTGAAGCGTGGGAGAGTAGACGGTCTTGATTGATTAAACCAGGAGGGCCATAAGGATCGTAACCGAGTTTTAGCTATCAGATTGACTGAGATGTTAACTAGTCTGGGAAGTGAAAGTAATCCCACCCTCCTAGCCTCGAACGCTGATAGTTTGTTTATAAGAAAAATTTGTCTTTTGATAACCACAGAGCAATTAGTCCGACTAATGTAGTGTCTAAAATATTAGCCTCAACAATTACCAAATGCTCCTACATGAAGTTTGTGCTGATGATATTGTTCAGAAAAACAATGAAAGGTCCACGACCAAACCATCCAGCTCAGAGAACAAAACTCCACCTAAAAGGTTCTACGTTTCGTACGACTGATTGACTCAGAGATGGATTGCTAGAGCCATAGCTTTATATAAGTTTTGAATCTGATGAAATCTTTTGATCGTTAAAAATATTCTTCTGATGGACCTACGCAAAATATCGATTAAGTTAAATTTTTCTTTTGATTGTCAGGCAGAGAAAAGCTCATAAACAACACGCTTATGTAGTTGATATAGCCTGCTTCATTAAACAAAGAACACGGTAGAGCATAAATATAGGTAATTAACTCACAGCAACAGGTTAATCTTAACATATACGTGAGTTTTCGCTAATCATAACTTTGAAGCCTTGTAGTTCGGCTGCTTTAAACTGATTCCTAATAAATCCGTGTATTACTGATGCAGTCGTATTTTTCTAGCACATAATCCAGAGAGCAAAATCTTAAGTTTACTTTTGAAGTTAGGGTGATTGTAGTAATGGCTAGTAGCAATTATCTGAGTTACCGTTCACTGTTGTAGAATCACATATATAATTTAATTTAATATAATTTAATAATTACGAAACCGTAAAATGTATGAAGAACTTTATATGGAGATGAAATCATAAAAAAGACAATGAGAATGAAACGATCAAAGAATAGATACGGAAGAACAAAAGTATAATAATTAGAAGCAGTAGATTTAGTAGAGGTTAGAAACTGAACATTAAGTCAAAATATCCTTAGCGTATGATAAAATCAATTGCTTATCAATTAACGAATGTTGATCTTTTCATCTATCAACTAAAACTATATAATTAACACAGTGAACTACTTTTATTGTGCTTTTTGAAGTTTCCAATAATTGTTTTAAAGTGGCTATACTATCTCAGGTTTGAATACAACTGAATAAGTGTTATTAAACTAATTTGTTTGATAAAAGTTTCAAAGAGTAAAGATGGTAGTTTAGGTGTTCCTTAATAAGCACTACCTAATAAACAGAAACCTTACTGTACTTGTACGTAATAATTTCTTTCCAGAACTAAAATGAAGTAGTTTGAATATGAAGATTTCAGTAATGCGAAGTACTGTTTTGTTAGTCCTGTGTATTTCGAGATATTAAAGATGAAAGTCTAACCAGTAACTGAATGCTTTAAAAATACTATTGAAAATATTCGGATTGCAAATAAGATAAAAACTTAACAGTAGCATCCTAAGAGTAGTAAACTGGTAGTTAATCAGTTTAATCAACAAACTGATTCTGCTAAACAACATTTAATGGGAACTTAAAATTTAGTGAAAAAGGTTTTTTTAGAAAAAAAATTGTTAAATATTTCTTTAAATTGTATTACTGAGAGCACAATAATAGACGATACAATACTTTATAACGAGAACACCTCTTGGAATATATGTACAACTTGCATAAGGTGCACAATAAATGAGTAAAGTGTATACAAAAAAAAAGAAATAAGATGCTTCACTTTGTTTAAAACATTGTATTTCAAAAAGAAAAACATACAGAAAGAAATACAAGCACACTTTAAGTGACCTCAGTCAACATATTACTTAATAAAAAGTTCTTTGTAAGATGAATACAATTAGCATCCTTTCTTAAATACTCTATTGTATGTACAAGCTAGCAAATAATTATATTCATTTACAGTTTATTAGAACAAAAAAGTTTCTATTGACAAACATAATTATTGTGAGCAACATAATAATAAAATCATTGATTATATATATATGCTATAATCAAAATGAACCGAGTGCGCTTTTAGCCAAAAAAGGGTAACTGGATGGTAAGAACGTGTATTCATTCTTTTACAAAAATATTCCGACAAAACTCTAGAATCTTCTTATGAAATATGTTTAACCTGCAAAACATGAGTTACTGATTTAATCACTAAATTAATTTTCTATTATTTTTTGTTTAGAATCTCCACACATATGACTGATAGCAGTTTTCACTTTAAACCTCAGATGTACTCTCTATAACGCGAAATTATTTGCTTTTGACACTAGTAAATGCAACCAATCGATCAATTAGTTACGTTACTTTTCCATATTAACCACAATCTAGAATTTTATACATACCAACCCTCAAGCTGGTTTCTTTAAAGTTAATTATGAAACAATACACTTGAGTGCAAATATCATTTTATATCACCAAAATGCCGGAATATGCCATGAAATGTTCACTACTCACAGTAAAAGAATGCATGGAAACAAAGATGGTAAATCATTTGATTTTTATCTTATATAAAAATGACTGAAGTATTTTTAGTTTAACAGAGAATACAAACTACACAATGTGCTTTTCAAAACCACGAAAGCATGAGTTCCAAAGTAAACACGATGGAAATACAAGTGGTTTTGAAATGAAAAAAAGTGTAAATATTTGCATACATTTTATATTTAACTCTAATAAATAAAGATTTATGATTAAGAAATCGAAGCAACACTGAAATAGTTGTTTTACAGGAAAAAAATGAAACACTTCACTGGCGACTTACTTTCTTTCTAGTGCTTCTAGATATTCTTTTTTCTTTCGGCGACTTTCTTGTGCACTTATTTTGTTTTTAATTTTTCGTCGAACCTTCTTAAGGTTTCGTTCGTCTTGTTTGGACAAAGGTAAACGTGTTGGAATGGAATAACCCTCTGCAATTAAAGTACGTTTCTCTTCTTCCGTGAGTACCAACATATGAGAATGATTGATCTAAAAAAATATTAAGATTACATTAGTTAAAAATAATGAGAACCAATCAAAACAGGAATCAGGTGGCATTATTTCTCCACAAAAACATATTAGAGCATGCCGACCCAAGGTTTTTAACTTAATACCACAGAAAAGGCTCTTGTACAGTGTTGTTAGGGTATATCTTCAATAGCAAGAAATAGAATTCTTCGATAATTGACCTCTATAACGTGATTTTGAATAATCGAAAGGTTTTTTCTAGGTTCAAGACACACATTTGTGATGAGTGTCAACCTGAAGGGAAATAAAACTAACTTAAGATTAGACTGAAATGATGTTGAGTAGTGGGTAACGAAAGCAAAATAAATAGAAAGGGTAAGTGTGATAGGTAATAATTAAAGCGTTCTCAGAACTATCAAATAAATAAGCAACAAAAAGTCAAGTGTTAACGAGACAGTATGCAGAAAAGAGATTATGTTCTACGCTTGGTCTAGACAGTTGTAGTAGTGAGGAAATTTTTTTGACTTGTCTCCAGGTTATTTTCAGTTGCGTACTGTTAACAAACAACCTGAATACGATACTAACATGAGCCCATTGACGATTATTTATTTATTTATTTGAACACATAAATATTGGTACAAGGGGGCACTAAATACATATGCGCCACACAAAACAATAAGGATGGGAAGAGAAGAGGCTAAGGAGTATACAAGAAAAAAGAACAATAACAACCACAGATTAGTGTATGTTAGTGTAACAGTGAGAATAATTATGGGGAAAACAGAAATGTACAACCAGAAGAACTTTTCAGTTAGTCAGTCAGTCAGCGACAACGTAGGACCAGGCACACATATGCATCGGTCCAAGTTGCCATACTTCGTTAGCACAACAAGATGAACACCGGATTCATAGAAGTAATTAATTTAGTGGTGGCAGTATATAAAGAAAGGTTGTATATAAGGATATAGTATAGAAAGGAAAAAAGTTATGAAGCAATTTTAATCTCAAGGTTTAAGGGAAGATAAAGAGTGTAAGGAAGTTATAACCACTCTTTATGAAGAAAGTAAAATAAGGTTACAAAAGGTTTCCCACTGGCTTCTATTATGAGCCATTTCTGATAACGTCCTAGCCACTACGTTGCACCATCTCTCGGACCCCAGCCAGAGAGTCGTGAAGGACTAACAGAAGTCAGCCCTTTACAGCTTTTTTTTCAAGCCGCAAGCGGCTTTACTCGCCATTTTCATGGCATCATGCAGTTGCAACCAATGCTCATCCATATTTTTTTCGGCGGGATAGTAGCTAGTCTAGAAGCTAGCTCGGTTTAATACTTGCAACAGAAGTTGCAACCAATTTACTGACATCAATCCGTTGGCCACTGAAAAGTAAGATAAGATTGGCGCAGACCAGAGTGCAGATAGGTACTTCAGTGGCCTTAGATTTGACCCACAAGGCAGCGGAACAACTTCACGAGATGCAGTTCTATGGTAGCCGATGATCAACAATAGGTTCATGCGCCATTTGTTCCTTCAGGATCCTGAAGTCCATGTGTGCCATTGGTTTGGAATCAGGGTTTTCCAACTCCCCTACGTGGACCCTCCATATCCACAAACCCGGTTAAAGCGCCAGACATTCGTGTTTCGCCTTCTCAATTTTGTAAACAATATCCCCGCCACAAGAAGGCAGTGAGTAGGACTTCCCTGGCAGTTGCTGTATACGCGTGGCCATGAGAGCATTTCAAAAGGGAGAGCAAACTCTCCCTACCCTCGGTCGAAATAGGGCATTTCGGGGCCCAACGACGATAGCTGAACTGAAAGGAGGGAGATCAGTGGGCATTGACGAATTAACCTCAGAGATTGTTAAGGATGACCATCCAACTTTAGCAGTTAGATTGACTGCGATATTAGTTCCTCAAACACTGCAGATAGAGTCACAGTAAACTATCTTCAGAATTATCAACTTCATGCAGTGTTCATTTTCCATATTTCTCAACATTGTTATAAACATCTATTCACTTATTGACTTTGCAGGTAACCTAGTTTTGTCTGGTGAAGACGCGAAAAAAATGTAGTCTTCTGGTTGCCTCGATCAACAACCCAAGTGTGTTTAGGATATTTTTTACTTTCTTTAAGTGCTAATTGTTATTTCAGAAAGTAAGTGTCAAACATTATATTAGTGATAGGTAGTGAAGTAGTTGAGCATGTCGATTACTTCACCTATCTCGAAAGTTCAAGCAGCCTTGGTGGGTTGAAGTTTAACGAACTGAAAATTATGACAGCTAAGGAGATAGGATATTTGTAGGTTGTTGATGTCTGATTATAGATGTCTTCGAAGCAATGCTTGCACATCTGAAGGCCATCAGATGAACAATGCTGAGGTTGAGTATAGTCAGTCAGTTACAACGTAGAACTTCGTACGTACGTACATCAGTTCGAGTTTCCATACCACATTAGCACAGAGATGAAGTTGTCGATTCAAATCCCATAATGGTAGAAGTAGTAAGAGTATAAGCAGTAATCGGAAAGATTAGGGTTTGAAGATGTTATTGAAGGAGTATAATCCAGTGAAATAAATTTGGAAAGAGAAAAAGGATACGAACATGAAGAATTCAGATTAGAATTTTGTAGAACACAAAGAGTGGATGCACCTTCGCCATTGCAAACGATTTTGAGCCATGTCATTCAAGGTCTCTAACCATCGGTTGCTATCATCTCGCGAATCCCAACCAGGTAGTCTGCACCTACCAACATGGCCCAGTCCTACTCCTACACCATAAAGCATTGCACGTCGGGGCAGACGGTGGTTGGGCATACGTAACACATGTCCTAGCCATCTCAACTGGTGAAGTTTCACTACTTCATCAATCGATTTGCCATCCTTACCTAGTACCCGTTTCCTAACATCTGCATTACTTACCCGGTGGCCCCAGGATATACGAGCAATGCTTCGAAGACACCTATGATCGAACACTAGTAGCCTACGAATATCCTCTACTCTTATCGGCCATGTTTCACTTCCATAAAGTAGGACGGAACGGACTGCTGCACAGTAAACCCGTCCTCTTGTTGCTAGACGGATATCTCGCCTACGCCATAAATGGCGCAAGTTGGCGAAAGCTAGACGAGCCTTCGGTATCCGTGCTGAGATTTCGTCACACACCAGACCACAAGCGCTGATGAGACTCCCAAGATAAGTGAAACCGTCAATACGCTCAACTACTTCACTCCCTATCGTTAGTTCAGGTGTCGATGCAACCCAATCCTGAAGTAACATTTTGCACTTCGAGGGAGAGAATCGCATCCCGAACATGCCTGCATTGTTGCTTATAGTGGTCAGAAGACTCTGCATGTTGTCAGAGTCTTCACCGAATAAAACGATGTCGTTGGCGTATTCTAAGTCAACAAGTGAATCTCCCGGTAAAAGTTCAACACCAGGAGATTGAGATGATGAAAGTGATACCTCTAAAAGCATGTCAACGACAAAGTTAAACAAGAATGGGGAGAGTGGACAGCCACGACGAACACCACTTGAGGTAACCAATTCTGATGACAGTTCGCCATAGGCTTTAACTCGACCAGTTGTGTTCGAGTAGAGAGCATTTATGAGGTTAATGTACTTCTTTGGTACTCCTTTCACTGAAAAACACTGCCACAAAACCTCACGATCAACGGAGTTAAATGCCGCCTTAAGGTCAAGAAATACTACGATTGTGGGACGTCTGAATGTATGTCTATGTTCTAGGACCTGACGTAGAGTGAATATCTGGTCTATGCAACCACGTCCAGGTCGAAAACCAGCCTGGTTTTCTCTAGTCTGTTCTTTACGAGCTTTGGTTAGGCGACCTAGTATTATTGAAGCTAATATTTTAGACACTACATTAGTCAAACTGATCCCTCTGTGATTGTCACAGGAGGACTTCTGTCCTTTCTTATAGACTGGCACAATCAGTGATTGGGACCAGTCAGATGGAATTACGTCCAGTTCCCAGATTCTACCTAAGACCTCAGTCAATCTCATTGCTAGTACTGGACCACCATCCTTAAAAATCTCAGTGGTAAACTTGTCAGGGCCTGCGGCTCTCCCTCGCTTCAGACTTCCTATAGCTTTTTCAACCTCATATAGGGTTGGAGGATTCAATTTGCCATTCAGGACGACTGGGGATCGTGGGTAACTGAAGGCCAGTTGAACTGATCCCTAAAGTGTTCTGCCCATCGATCCAATCTCCTGGATTAAGAATAAATAACATGTCCATCTTTGTCTGAGATAGTTTCTCTAATAGTTGGGTTCCTAATGCCGGTTTCTTTAATAAGTCTGAATAGCTGTCTGCTGTTACCTATTGCCGCTGCCTTTTCCATCTCTCTTGCTTTCGCTACCCACCACTGTTCATGATCATTGCGTAGGCTTCTTATTAGCCTTCGCTTAAGCTGACTCCGCTCTTCGTTATGTTCAGAGCCAGGTGGGATGAGTTTTCGAGCATCTATCAGTGCGGTAGATGCTGCCGAGATCCATTGTTTCTCCCTGACCTTATGGCTTACCTTACTAGCGGATATCACTGCTGTTTCCACAGCTTTTCGGATGTCATTCCACGCTGCTTCGGGGAGGACATAACTTACATGTCTGCCTAACTGTTTTTCCAGTTGTTCCTGAAATATATTCTTAGCTTGCTTATCATTAAGTAGAACCCTTAGAGGCTTACCTGCAGTGTCTTTCCTACGTCCAGTAAGACGCAGACAGATACGTGCTCGCACTAGAGCATGATCTGAATCTACACATGTGCCCCAGAATGAGCGAGTCTTCTATCGAGCCCCTCCATCGGTGGCTGATAGCGATGTGATCTAATTGGGTCCAACGTTGGGACGAATTCGGGGGTCGCCATGTCAAAAGATGTTTTTCCTTATGCTTAAAGTTAGTATTTGCGAGAAATAGGTGGTTATCTGAGCACAGCTGCAACAGACGGTCGCTATTATCCGTCCTTTTAGCCACGACACCATAAGATCCTCCCAGGTGTCTTTCCATTTCACTTA